TTGCTCTGACTGACGGCTGCTGGGAGCAGGGGGTGGAGCTTGTTGCATGTGCCCACCCCCTGGGCTCTTTACTGCCGGAGTGCCGCTCCTGTGCGCTCCTGCAGGAAATGACCCCTGGTGACGGTACAGCACGTACTCCGGCACTTGCATACTTTCCATTTTCTGCAAGCCCCCCCTCCCCCCGAGGCTTGTGAAATCTGAAATCACCTTGCCATCTTGGAATGAATTGAATCGTGCCGATATAAGCAACTGTATATTTTAATGTAGGATTTTAAGTTTAAGTTATTTACTGTGCGCGCCTTTCTGTTGGAAAGCGCCCTGAACCCTGCTTGCGGGGAAGGGGCGGCTTAAAAATTTAATCAAATAATAAATAAATAAAGAATATTGAGGTTTAGAAGATTATGCATGGGACAGAGCGGGTAGAGAAAGAAGTCCTTACTCACAAGACAAGAACTCGTGGGCGCTCCATGAAATTGCTGAGCGGTCGGGTTAGAATGGATAAAAGGAACTCCTTCTTCACCCAAAGAGTGATTAACACATGGAATTCACTGCAACAGGGGGTGGCGGCGGCTACAAGCATGGATGGCTTCAAAAGGGAATTAGATAAGCATATGGAGCAGAGGTGCATCAGTGGCTATTAGCCACAAGGTATAGATAGGGACTCTGGGGCAAGGGATTTCTCTGTGTGCTGAGGGGGGGGGGGTCAACAGTGGGAGGGCTTCTAATGTCCTGGCCCCACTGGTGGACCTCTTGAGGGTCCCTGGTATTTTTGGCCACTGTGTGACACAGAGTGTTGGACTGGATGGGCCACTGGCCTGATCCAACATTGGCTTCTCTTATGTTCTTATGTATAAACATCTGGAGCAGAGGTCCATCAGTGGCTATTAGTGGCAAAGTATAGGTAGGAACTCTCGGTCTGGGGCAAGGGATGCTCTGTATTCTTGGTGCTCGGGGGGGCAACAGTGGGAGGGCTCCTAGTGTCCTCTGGCCCCACTGGTGGACCTCCTGAGGGCCGCTGATATTTCTGGCCACTGTGTGACACAGAGTGTTGGACTGGATGGGACATTGGCCTAATCCAACATTGGTGTCTCTTATGTTCTTAATAAACTCAAGGTGGGGGGCTGGAGATCTCCCGCTTTTACAGTTGGTCTCCGGACAGCAGAGCGATCAGTCTCTCTGGAGCAAACGGCGGCTTTGGAGGGTGGACTCTGTGGCATTGCCCTGTTCTGAGGCCCCTCCCCTCCCCAAGCCCCGCCCTGCCCAGGCTTCGCCCCCAGAATCTCCATGTATTTCCTGACCTGGCGCTTGCCACTGACGGGAGAGCACCTGCCGGATCTTCTCTCGCTCCACCACCTCTCTCCCTTGAGGCCTGGGCGGGAGGGCCACTGTGGGTACAATGGAAACACCTGGGGGGGAGTCGCTGCACCCCTCCTGTGTTCTGGGGAATCTCTCAGGACACCTCGCCTCCCAAAATTGGGAGCAGGGACCGCCTTGCGGATAGTTTTCCAGCTTCTTGTGCAATTCCCGTAGTCTGTAACACAAAAGTCGACCCCCTGTTGACTAGAGCAGGGGTCCCCCAACTTTTTGAGCTAGCATAAACGTCTGGTTTATGCTAACGCTAATAGTAGGTCTTCCAACAGAAGTGGCTTGTTAAGTATTTACCCAATGTTGATAGTTGTGTATGTAAATTGTTGTTGTTCAGTCGCACAGTCGAGTCCGACTCTTCATGACCCCATGGACCAGATCACGCCAGGCCTTCTGGTCTTCCGCCGTCCTCTGAAGTTTGCTCAACTTTATGTAACAGGGGTCATTTCCTGCGGGAGCACACAGGAGAGGCGCTCCAGCAGTAAAGAGCCCAGGGGGCGGGCACACGCAACAAGCCCCACCCCCCTGCTCCCAGCAGCCCTCAGTCAGAGCAAGAAGCAGCCAGGTAAGTTGCAGAGTGCCTCCGGCCCCCCGGTCGAAAACAGTCCAGTGGCACCTTTAACACCAAGTTTTATTCAGGTACAAGCTCTCCCTCCTCCGCGAGGACAAATCTGCACGTCCCGTCCCCCCCCCAATAGCTAGCAATCCAAAACAGTCCAGTGGAGCCTGAGCGGTGGGTGTTGCCGTCTGACACACTTCCCGTGATGTCAGGGGGCGTGGCATATGCTAATGAGGTATGCTAATGAGCTCCTGCACCTCTTTTGCTACAAAATGACCCCTGCTTCTGTTGATACAGCCCAAAATCGCATTTGCCTTTTTAGCAACTGCATCACATTGCTGACTCATGCTCAGTGTATGGTCTGCTAAGACCACTAGACCCTTTTCACAGATCCTACTGCCAAGACAACTCTTCCCCAACCTATAATTATGCACTTGATTTTTCCTATCTTAATGTGTGGTTGTGGCCTGGCCAGCCTTTGAACCGACTAGGAAAGTCCCAGATGGGCTGCTACTTTGGAAAGCCTCAGGAGGAACCGGAGTCCAGTAATCCCTGCAGCGCTAGCAGTACCGTGGGGGGCCTCCGTCGGCTTGGCACGGTGCGAGCTGAGCACACCAAGCGATGCCTCCCGCATTGTAGAGGCGCCGCTCAGCTCCCTGAAATGCTGTTTTGGTGGCCCAGCGCCTGCCTGGATATGTGCCATGCGCACACAGGCCCTGGAGCCGAGCCCTGGCTTTCCCCAAAGAGCCAGCGAGCATCTTCCCGATGCACCAAGTCTCCGGGCTTGTCAGTTCTCGAACCCGGCCACTGGAGGTCTGCTGGGGCCGGGGATGATTGAGAGCACAGCCTGTATATGTGATCTCTCCCTCTCTCTCTCTCTCTCTCCTCCACCCCGCCCGCCTGCCCGACTGGAGAGCTAAAATAATAAAATGCTGATCTCACACACTTCTCTGGCTGCCTCGCCCGCTGCCCTGCCCGCCGGGTTCACACCGCTCGGGAGAAGTCAACGGCTGCCACAGCCCACCAAAGGTAAGCCTGGTTTAGATTCTCGGGTTCTGTGTTTTCAGGGGCGAGGGAGGGAGGGAGGGTGCTGCCCACCTTTGGAGCAGAGACCCTGGGAGCAAGGAAGTTTGGGGAGGGGGGGTCAATGAAGGCAAAGAGAATCGCCGGTCCTCCATCCACACATGCAACACATGTTCAGGCCTGGTCCTGAAGGGGAGCGGAATGAGGTGGTGAAGCCCTCTGTGGAGAGAGGCCTGTACCATCCCTGACTGCAGGTGGGCAATGCCCTTCTTGTATGCACCACCCCCCTGTAGAAGCCATACAAGAACCACGGCTCCCCGCCAGCAGAAAATTAGCACGCCAAAGCATGAAGCCTGCCTGGTAGTTTATTTCTTTACTTGCATGGATTTTGTTTGCTTCAGACAGAGGGGAGGATTGAAAAAAACACGGTGCCCGGCACTGCCTATTCTGCCCCCGCCTCATCCTGCTGCGGGTGCGGGTGCCGGCCAATCCACACCCTCAGCTGGGGGCGTCAGGGGCCGAGAACTGAGCTGTGACTCATGGGGGGGCCCCGCGCTCCTTGAGATCACCTTACAAGCTTCTGCGTCGCCCCTCCGAGCCGGCTGTCCAGATTGAGAAACAAAATACATCCGTTGGGGAGGGGCAGCCGGTCTGCAGGAGAGAGAGATAGGTTCATAAGAACGTAAGAGAATATAAGAAATGCCAACGTTGGATCAGGCCCATGCAGTCCAACACTCTGTCACACAGTGGCCAAAAATGCCAGGTGGCATCAGGAGGTCCAGCAGTGGGGCCAGGACACTAGAAGCCCTCCCACTGTTGCCCCCCCCAAGCACCAAGAATACAGAGCATCACCTGCCCCAGACAGAGTGTTCCTATCTATACCTTGTGGCTAATTGCCACTGATGGACCTCTGCTCCATATGCTTATCTAATTCCCTCTTAAGAACATAAGAGAAGCCAATGTTGGATCAGGCCAATGGCCCATCCAGTCCAACACTCTGTCACACAGTGGCCAAGAATACCAGGCGCAATCAGGAGGTCCAGCAGTGGGGCCTGGATACTAGAAGCCCTCCCACTGTTGCCCCCCCCCCAGCACCAAGAATACAGAGCATCCCTTGCCCCAGACCGAGAGTTCCTATCTATACCTTGTGGCTAATAGCCACTGATGGACCTCTGCTCCATTTGTTGATCCAGTTCATAAGAACATACGAGAAGCCAATGTTGGATCAGGCCAGTGGCCCATATAGTCCGTGTCACACAGTGGCCAAAAATTCCAGATGCCCTCAGGAGGTCCAGCAGTGGGGCCAGGACACTAGAAGCCCTCCCACTGTTGCCCACCCCCCAGCACAAAGAATACAGAGCATCCCTTGCCCCAGACAGAGTGTTCCTATCTATACCTTGTGACTAATTGCCACTGATGGACCTCTGCTCCATATGCTGATCTAATTCCCTCTTAAGAACACAAGAGAAGCCAATGTTGGATCAGGCCAAAGGCCCATCCAGTCCAACACTCTGTCACACAGTGGCCAAGAATACCAGGTTCCATCAGCAGGTCCAGCAGTGGGGCCATGACTCTAGAAGCCCTCCCACTGTTGTCCCCCCCCCCAAGCACGAGGAATACAGAGCATCACTTGCCCCAGACCGGGAGTTCCTAGATATACCTTTTGGCTAATAGCCACTGATGGACCTCTGCTCCATATGCTTATCTAATTCCCTTTTGAAGCCATCCATGCTTGTAGCCACCACCACTTCCTGTGGCAGTGAATTCCGTGTGTTAATCACTCTTTGGGTGAAGAAGTACTTCCTTTTATCCGTTCTAACCCGACCGCTCAGCAATTTCATGGAGTGCCCACGAGTTCTTGTGTTGTGTGAAAGGGAGAAAAGTACCTCTTTCTCTGCCTGCTCTATCCCATGCATAATCTTGTAAACCTCGATCGTGTCACCCCTCAGTCGTCGTTTCTCCAAGCTAAAGTGCCCTAAGCGCTTTAGCCTTTCTTCACAGGGAAAGTGTTCCAACCCTTTGATCATTCTAGTTGCCCTTTTCTGCACTTTTTCCAGTGCTGTAATACCCTTTTTGAGGTGTGCTGACCAGAACTGTACACAGTAGTCCAGATGAGGTCGCACCATCGATTTATACAGGGGCATTATGATACTGGCTGATCTGTTTTCAATTCCCTTCGGGGTAGGAGCTTTAAGGGCGCTGTCACGCACGGTAGATAATGCCGTTTCAGTCCACTGCGGTGACTGTTTGCAAGTGGATTTTGCCACTTCACACAGGGTGATTGTGCACCTGGCATTTGCTCCACATTTTCTCAACCCTTAGGAAAAGGTGCAGCTCAAAACCACATTCAAATACCCCGGGGCAAGGCTGTACCGACTGCAAAGTCACTCCTGAACGGCCATAGATCTATGCAGAAGGTACCATAAAACCCGATGATCAAGGAAAGCAAAAGCGGCATGCGATGCAGAGGGGGATTTCATAAAACAATGAGGGGAAGAGCCGATGCAGGATCACCCACAGTAAAAAATACAGTTGCAAAGTGCATGGGAAGTGGATTGAACGTGCGTTATTTAGTGTGTGTGAAAGCACTTGAACTGCAATGTTCCCACTAAGCAGTGGAGTCTTGTGAGCAAAACCTCTACTCTGTGAGCTATTGGCATTAAGGTTGCAAGCAAGCCATTTGGCTGCTGCATAAATTGGTTCCCTCTGGAGCCATCCTTCCTGAGCAAAGAGTAAAATGCATGAGCTTGCTCACACTCACTCAGCTTAGAGGGAACAAGTGTGTCTTGTCGAAGGGAGCTTTGATTCTTGAAAGCTTCTGCCCCGAAAGTCTTGTGCAGGGGTCATTTCTTAGAAAAAGACAGGCAGGAGCTCATTAGCATAACTCATTAGCATAATTTATTTGCATGTGCCACACCCCCTGACTTCACCCGAAGTGTGTCAGAAGGCAACACCCACCACTCAGGCTCCACTGGACCAAGGTTCCCTCTAAGCTGCGGAGTCCTGTGAGCAAAAATCCTACTTTGTGAGCGACCGGCATTAAAGTGGTGAGCCGGCGATTTGGCTGCTGCAGAAATTAGTTTGCTCTGGAGCCATCCTTCCTGAGATAAGGCAAAAAGCTGTGAGCCAAAGGCTGAAAAACTGTGAGCCAGCTCACCCTAACTCAGCTTAGTGGGAACACTGCACTGGACTGTTTTGGATTGCTAGCTATTGGGGGGGGGGGAACGTGCAGATTTGCCCTCACAGAGGAGGGAGAGCTTGTGCCTGAATAAACCTTGGCCTTAAAGGTGTCACTGGACTGTTTTGGATTGCTATCTGGGAGGGGGGGGGCTCTGCAACTTACCTGGCTGCTTCTTGCTCTGACTGAGGGCTGCTGGGAGCAGGGGGCGGGGCTTGTTGCATGTGCCCGCCCCCTGGGCTCTTTACTGCCGGAGCTCCGCTCCTGTGCGCTCCTGCAGGAAATGACCCCTGGAAACCAGCAACCTTAGATGACTGCCTGAAGAAGTGCTGGGAATGGGGACGCGAGGCTCAGAGGGATTCCGGAGGACTCCGCCCGAGGAAAAGGAGCAAGCCGTCGCAGTGTTTGGGATTAAGCCGTTCTTTGAACCACAGGACTTTTTTTTTTTTTTTGCAGCGGGGTCCCCCAGCGCAGACTTGGGCTGTGGTCACACACACGAAAGAATCCCCTTCCAAATCCACTTTCAATGCACTTTCCAACTGGATTTTGCCAGTTCACACAGCAAAAGTGAAATCATCTGAGCTCGAGGCGGGCATAGTGATCAGCCCGTAGTTGATTCGTGATTTCAGCTCGACCCTAAGACTGGAAGACTGGCCTCGCAGCCCTGTTTATAAAGCCAAAAATCAGCAAATACCGTGCTACAGACCATTATAAAATAACTCAAATAATTCCTATATATTTTTTGTTTTATATTTTTTACAATTTATTCACCATATATTATTTATCATATAAGCCTTAATACATAAAAGTTAAAGGTTCCCTTGCTCGAAAGCCAGTCGAATCCGACTCTAGGGTTGCGGTGCTCATCTCCGTTTCAAAGCCGAAGAGCCAGCACTGTCCGAGGATGTTTCCGTGGTCATGTGGCCGGCATGACTAAACACCAAGGCGCACGGAACGCTGTCACCTTCTCACCAAAGTGGTACCTATTTATCTACTTGCCATTTCTTGCTTTCGAACTGCTAGGTTGGCAGGAGCTGGAACTAGAGACGGGAGCTCTCTCCGTCATGCGACAACTCGGGTCTCGAACTGCTGAACTACCGACCTTCCACAGCCTGCAGTTCAGCGTTTAAGTATTGTCTCTTAATATATCACAAAAGATATTGCACAACCCCTTTATTAATATCAGTCCTCCTTAATTATACAAAAGTTTGAAGCGGGAGGACTCCTTTAAGTCTATTTTGAATGAGTGCTCAGTCTTCCTCCAGCAGAGATCCGGATATCCTTCTGTTTCAGTGTCTTCCTCAGGGAGTTCAACAGATATTTCCAAGCACAAGGTTGCCAAATACCAAAATATTTATCCAAATGCTTTTCACTTTGGAGGAAGCTTTGAGCTCACTGAGAGAGACTTTTTGCAGCGTTCATTGAAAAAAATTTGGATAAATTATAATCGTCTGTAGCATGGTATTTGCTGATTTTTGGTATTTCCTACTTACCGTGGGTCCTATTTTGGTTTTGTGAATTGCTGTTTATAAAGCCTGCAGAGACCACACCCGGCGCACCCCACCACCAACAATAGGCCATTTACATTAAAACTACTCCGCTATAGGTCCATTTCCAGGATCCTGGCTATCTATTGTTCTGGTGGAACAAGCTCGGCCAGTTTCCAGGTACTATTCAGGCTCAGTACATTGAGAGTGGATTCAAAGTGGGTTATTTAGTGCGTATGACGGCAGCCATTCAAAGTTCGTGAAAACGGCCCCTCCTTCTAGTGTTGCCAACATCCAGGTGGGGGCTGGAGATCCCCAAGAATTAGAAGTGGTCTCTGGAG